AAATTTTATATGACAATTTGCATAAACATGCAAACATTGGATTCACTTACGAAACATCTGCCTCAGATTAAATTAAGTCAAGGACTTTGCTTTGTAAGACTTGTAATTGCTATATTATAACCCTTCTGCTATGTGTAATTCTAATCTAAGAACATCTTAAAGGGACACTATAGGCACCCAGACCACTAAAGCTCATTGCAGTGGTCTGAGTGCAGTGTCCCTATTGCACTTAGTGCTGCAATGTTTACATTGCAGCACTTAGTCTACTTCCACTGGCCGAGAGAGGGGGAGGCAGAGGGAGCTATAGTGCCAGGAATACGGCTTTCTATTCTGGGTACTTATAGTATTCCTTTATTGCAATTTAATAGATAAAAGATTAAATCTTCACAAATGCTCATAAAGACTGTGTTAAAATTTCACTGAAATTCCATTTCAATCAAAATATATCATAAGACAAAGGAAGGATGTATTTTTCCAACCTTTTGCAAGCATTTTCAAGTCCTGAGCTGTAACTAGTGAGGACTGAAGGGAAAAGGGCTGTTTGTTTCTGTGCGAGAGTACAGCATTGATGTCAGGTCCTGGCAGATGAAGCTTCAGGAGCTGAAGAAGACATCAAGGAAGAAGATAGTGGCATCTATAAGAGACAGGTTAAGATAAGTAAAAACTACTTTCGCCTGCCCTCCATGGCCACCGCTCAGCAAGTGGAGCATTCACCATCTGGTGGCTGTGCATAATATGCAGAATTCTCAGAAGGTGACAGAGCCCCTTTAAATACAGCCTACCAACATCCTGCCTCTGTAACGTTAATCAGAATCGAGCTTAGTGCTTCATGTATCAGGGGTTTATACAGCGCATATCATAAATCACGCCAGCACTGCCAGCTGTCAAGGGCACGTGCATTCCATTCAAATGCTTTCCAAGAACCAGATATAGGCTATAACTGCTCATGTGAAGGGGGTGATGGTAGATGTCTCCATAAGCAGTTTGTTTCCTTCCACTGGTGCGGTTTTAATAAATAAGAAAAAAAATTAAAATGCAGTGTATATACCTGTGTATCCCCGCCTGGTATTCTCCATCTTGAGCTGCAAAGAAAAGGGGCTTTGCCATCCCATAATTTTGACAAAGGTAAGCATACCATATACACAAAAAATATTTTTTTTATTTAATGTATACAAAATTGCTTTCCAATTCTCTCGTCCAGTATGCACTTTCATATTGAAACGCTGCACATACCGACTACAAAGGACACGTTTTTTTTTAGCTATGTAACAAGTACCATGACCACTTCAAATCAATACACAAGATCCAGCGCACTCTCCTATCTACTAAACAGCAACTTCAATGTTGACAGATTTTTTTTTTTTTTTTTAAAGTTTTTTTGTAAAGGTTTTAAAAAAAAAAAACAAACAAAAAAAAAAACACACCTAATCTAGGCGAAAAATAATGGAGATTTAGTTACATTATATGATCATACATTGCATAAGCCTGCCACAATGTCAGTGTACTCCATCTTTGGTAGGTCCTACTCTCACAATCTAATATCTACTCTTTTGTGAATAACTCACTTACTTGGGGAAAAATTCCATCTGAGGCTCTCTGCAGTACAAGGCTAAATAGAGACCGGAGATGAGGCACCTGTAACAGGGAGGGGAGCAAACCAAGGAGTTGGCTAGACTCCCAAATAAATATATATATATATATATATATATATATACATATATATACATGGGGGGTTGCACTCACCTGAACATGCTTAAATGGGGTGCTGCTGGGGGCCATATTATACAAAAAAAAAATACACAAGATCCAGCGCACTCTCCTATCTACTAAACAGCAACTTCAATGTTGACAGATTTTATTAGTTTGTTTTTTTTTTAAAGTTTTTTCTAAAGGTTTTTTTAAAAACAAACAAAAAACCAACCTAATCTAGGCAAAAAATAATGGTGATTTAGTTACATTATATGATCATACATTGCATAAGCCTGCCACAACGTCAGTGTACCCCATCTTTGGCAGGTCCTACTCTCACAGTCTGTCTACTCTTATGTGAATAACTCACTTACTTGGGGAAAAATTCCATCTGAGGCTCTCTGCAGTACAAGGCTAAATAGGGACCTGAGATGAGGCACCTGGAACAGGGAGGTGTGCAAAACCAAGGAGTTGGCTAGACTCCCAAATATATCTACAGAAATCAGTGTAGTCGTCATGGTGCTTGAAGTAGCCCTTTAAGTTTGAAATTCCCTCTGAATTTTCACTTTAGTATATAACACTTAATTCCACATGAAAATATATTAAATCTGTTGGGTTTTTCCATCTGTTTTAATATTTTTTTGCGCAAATTGTTTGCAAATGATTAAAAGGATCACTATAGGGTCAGGAGCACAAACATGTATTCCTGACCCTATAGTGTTAAAACCACCATCTAGCCCACCCTGGGCCCCTCATGCCTCCATAAATATAGCAAAATCTTACTGTATTCAAGCCTGAAGCTGTAACTCTGCCTGCTGTTTGCCTAAAAAAAAAAAAGCAGTCTGGTGACATCATCAGAAGTAGTAGCCTGAAAAGACACAGTGTTTACAGCAAAAAGCCTGAAGGTAACGATTCTACTCACCAGAACAAATTCAATAAGCTGTAGTTGTTCTGGTGACTATAGTGTCCCTTTAAGAATTCTTCCGCCACTACTCTTACAGAATAGTGGCAGCATTTTCTCACCATTAAACATTTCACAGGTTTCTGAAATTTCTGTGAAAACTGTAAAACATTATACTAAAGAGGACTGGCACTTTTTAGATCACATTTCAGAAAACTTTGAAAAATATATGATTATTTTTACATCCTTGTGTCATACTTAGAACTCAGCATTCCCAAAAACGTAAACAAGTTCAGTCACTCTGTGAATAAGTGCGGGTCTGTATAAAAAACATATCGGTGGTCAATGTGGTCAAATAGTGTTTTAACGCTGGAATAAAATGGTTTACTTTAATCTCTTATCCAAGTCTCTCTGAGTATGCGCTTTAATTCCGCGGGTTTATCTCCTTTCAAAAGCCCATAAGCAGGGTATGGCGGACAGCCTGGCACCCTGGCTGGTTACCTCCATCAAGCTCGCTTCCTAGCTCTACACTGGGACACCCCGGAGTCTCTCAGTCGCTTCCAGCCTTTGAACAGGGTCCTGGGTACAGCTTCAAGTGATTAAGGTTTCCTGCAGAGAGTATAGCTGATCCACCCAAACACTAGCCCAGACTGAGTGAAGGGTGAAAAGGAACTGCTTTATTATGGCCAAGTTGCCTGCTTATATACACGACCCCCAGCATGGGGTCTCCAAACAATACAATACAAGCCCCTCCCGTTGGGCAGGAGACCAGCTTCCACACTCCTCCAAGAGTATGTGGCAAATATCTGTGGAAAAGAGCGTTTGTCAAACAGGGTATTTGACCATTTTATTGTTACTATTGTATGTCTAAATGATAGAATCAATGGATACCATTAATCGCTAAAAATCTTTTCTTCATCCAATATTTCTGCAAATGTTAAATGACAAAAAAATTACAGAATTATTTTTTTTTGGCCCAGGAACTTAAAGGACCACTATAGTGCCAGGAAAACATACTCGTATCCTGGTACTATAGTGCCCTGAGGGTGCCCCCACCCTCAGGGCCCCCCTCCCGCCGGGCTCTAGGGGTTGGAAGGGGTTAAATTTACCTCTTTCTGCAGCGCCGGATGGGGAACTCTCCTCCTCCATATCGCCGTCATCGTCTGAATGTGCATGCGCAGCAGGAGCCGTGCGCACATTCAGCCAGTCCATAGGAAAGCATTCTCAATGCTTTCCTATGGACGCTGGCATCTTCTCACTGTGAAAATCAATGAGACAGCCACTAGAGGCTGGATTAACCCTATTGTAAACATAGTAGTTTCTCTGAAACTGCTATGTTTATAGAAGAAAGAGTTAATCCTAGCTTGACCTGGCACCCAGACCACTTCATTAAGCTGAAGTGGTCTGGGTGCCTATAGTGGTCCTTTAAATCTGTACATATTAGAGCTATTCTATCCTATGTTCTTGTGCTAGTTGTGCATCTCATGTTTTAAGTACATATGTTGGCACTTAATAAATAACAATAATAATAATAAATAAATATTCTGTTTTTTTTACAAAAAGGATTTGTTAGTAGAGCGTTATCCATATTTCAAATGATTTCCTGGCTTCATGAATACTAAACAATACCCTTAATATTTAGAGAAACACTATACTCAAAGCCAAATATTTGTGCACACTTGTTTTGTGATTCAAAAGACAAATATGATTATCTAACAAATTATATTTTACACATATTGGCAGGGTGCAAGATGAAAGATGGATAAAACAACTGCAACGCTGTATTCATATAAGAAGAATGTGATTGGCGTGTAAAACGGCACTGCCCGGAAAATGAATTACGCATTTGATTAATGTTCATTGTTTTGTAAAAGATAAAAAGAAAAAAAGAACAAGAGTCAGCTGAATGCAAAATTAATTTATTTGGAAAGCGAGGCTTAAAAACATTAAAAATGATTTTGCTTTTTATAAATTATTACACAGAAAATGAGTATCACAGCAACACTTTTAGTAAATTAAAATTTGAAATAAAGAGGCTACTGTGGGATTGTCTTGAAGCTTAATTGTTACTGTCAACTGCTGAATTCTGTTTAAAGGAACACTCCCAAGTTACTTTATTAAAGTGACGATTTTAACACAAATCGCCATTATTATAAATTGTCTAGGTTGTCAGTCTAACAGTCTGGTAGGGTGGTTTTTGTGATTGCCTTATTCTCAAACACAAAACAGAAGGCAGCGCTTCTAACAGAGAAGCATAGGCTTCATCCTTCTCTATGAAAAGTATTTGCAGGGCAGTGTGGTGACCGCTGTGCATGCGCCCTGCCTGTATGAGAAGCATTGGATCTACCTTCGAACCATCACTAGGAACCAACAGTTAAAAAGAATCCAAAGTAGTGGATGAAGTTCAGAAGTTATAATTCCTTAATACTAAAATACAAGTTGAAAGCACATTTGGGACATGGCTATGTGTGATAGAAGGCACCTTGACCCAAGGCTCAACTACAGATGACCGGATATTCAGTCTGTTTTTACTTTCATTTTGTGCTTTGAACTTTTAGTATAGTTTCAGTGTCTGACAAGTAAGCATAAAGTCATGACTTGTGACATTCTGTGGTTTCTGAGGAGATGATTGCAGCTTCACCCTCAGCCCCCCCCCTTCTTATGTCCTAATTTTTTTTTTATATATAACCATTGACATTTGCTTAGTTCTGTAAATTCCTTTTATGGTACAAAGTGACTTCAAGCATCCTGTTTTTGTTGCGCAAGTCACAAAGCTGTTTTACAAAGTACTATATGGTCTGAAAGCAAACCAATAAAAGAGGAAGTAATCTTTGAATCACAAATTGTCTGGTGTTTCTGATTTGATTGGTTCACCAAGCGGCTCGAACATATAACAAATTGGTTTCACCTGAACATATCTTTGGGTAACTTTATATCCGTATCACTATGGCACACTTGGCTAATGGTACTCTTGCCTGGGTACACTGAGCTAATGACACATTTGTTGGGAAAATTGGTTCTCTACAAAGCAGTCAAAAGCAAGGTATAGAAAAGTGCCAAATAGTTTGGCACAACAGTGTAAGAAATGGGCACATGCAAAACATTCCTAAACTTTTCCTACATTTCTGCCACAGTAGTAGTTCACATTGGACTTTAATCAGCTTTTGCATGCTTTATGATACTGTGGAAGACATTCACAATTTTTGAATATTCTTCTTCATTTGAGTGACGAATCCATTAACCCCTTAAGGACACATGACATGTGTGACATGTCATGATTCCATTTTATTCCAGAAGTTTGGTCCTTAAGGGGTTAAAGATACATTGAAGAAGTTGCACTTTGATGAATATTCCAAGTCATGGAAAAACATACTGATTTTGAATAGTGATGTCCTGAACGGTTCGCCGAACGGTTCGCGAACGGTTCGCCACGAACGGTTCGCCACAGACTCATCATTGAGTAAACTTTGACCCTGTACCTCACAGTCAGCAGACACATTGCAGCCAATCAGCAGCAGACCCTCCCTCCCAGACCCTCCCACCTCCTGGACAGCTCACTAAGAATGCAGCTTCACAATGAATGTAAAATGGATGCTGTCCATGAGGTGGGAGGGCCTGGGAGGAAGGGTCTGCTGTTGATTGGCTGGAATGTGTCTGCTGACTGTGAGGTACAGGGTCAAAGTTTACTCAATGATGAGTCCGCGGCGAACCATTCGTGGCGAACCGTTCCCGAACCGTTCGGGACATCACTAATTTTGAATACCATTATGCATGCAAAAAGTACGCACTCATCTTCTGCACACAATGTGAGTGATAAGTGGGTTTTGCTTAACATTCTAAATGGTGCTTAAACTGGATGTTGTGAATGGCTAAAAGCAATCAAAAATGGATAACAAAGCAAAATAAAAGATCAGACACTAGGAAACAAATTTGTACATCCAGACAGTGTTCCAAAATATATTTATAGGCATACATTATGAGTATATCTGGCTTAGATATTATAACAGAATAAGGTTCATATATCCAGTAAATTCCAATGGATATGCCTTCTGGTTGCTTTAAAATATTTCATGATTACACCATGAAGTCTTTGTTAATTAAACATCACATTTCTACTTATCCCACTGATTGCTAAGTTCATCTATTATGTCCTTGAGTGTTGATTAGACACTTTTGTCTTATACAAAAGAATTTCTGGCCTTTTTTAGTGTTAACTGGATGAAATTGCTGATGGAAAGTAGTGATGGTTTTGTTTTACACATTAACAAATGGTATTATTGAATTTAACGACTTGTTGCATAAGCAGCATTTCTTTAGCTAGCCAACTCCATTTATGGCTTTTTTTTTTAAAGCAAGTTGGCTTTTCCAACTTAGTATCATATGTCATGAGTATCCATGTGTCTATCAACAAGGAAAGATTTAAGTGAACACGGGAGATCTATTCACCTTGTATTGATTGTGTATCCACAAGGTGTAATTTGTTTAATATACACGTTATATTGTCTATCTTGAAAATATAGTAAGGAAAATTACGAGAGTTTGTGAAATGTGGGCGTTCAGATAATTTGATAGCTGCTAAAAAAATGTCTGAATTAATTTGCTTACAGATATTTAGAAAATGTACAATTTTAAATTGAAACAATATGTACAAAGAGGCAAAGCCAAGCCAGCATGCTCTGCGGATTTTTGACAGTCTTCAAATGATGCTTACTTTCTTTTTTTCAGTTTTCAGATTCCTGAACAGTTAACCACTGCTAAAACTATTCTGTTTGAAAAGAGAAAAAGCTGTAGCCCATTTTGATAGCTTTTGTCCTGTGTCCCAGTGTCTGAAATGGCTGTTCCACAATTGAGGCCTGTTCGGGGTCTGCAGTCTGCGATTGTCAAAGGGCTGATTGGCTGAGTATCGTACCCTTAGTCTGAAGACTCAACTATATCAGCAGGTGACTGAGGAAGCATCACATGAGTTAATTGCATGGTTTACTATGTATGAATTCTCACCTCTCCCAGACACCGAAGTTGGTTATTTGGGCCTGACAGGCCTCGTTCTTAACTTCAGGAGATGATGGCAAGGATACGTTGGATGTAGTTTCACTTCATGGAGAGAACCTGACTACTCTGGCCATCAGAGGCGATATTACAATATTAAGGAGCTTTTGGAGATACCCATGAGGTTTTTGTAGCACATTACCATTGTTTGTGGAGACATCAGTGCCCTTGCAAGCTACTTTAAAGTGACGGGGGAAGACCTCCAAATCACAAGCCAGTAAAATGCTGTCACGTTCTCTCATTTTATCAAGACCTCTGTCAATCAACTCTCCAGTGGAGGAGGTCACTCTCTAGCTTTACTGCCTATCTCCAAGACAACAACATCTCATGGAGTATTCATAGGTCACTATAGGATTATCCAACTTTTCTGCAGTCCCTGGACCTACTTAGAGGTCCCTTAAAGGGTCACTCCAGATACCTAAACAACTTTAGCTTGCTGAAAAGCTTTATGTGTGAAGAGTGCTGTTTTTGTCATTTGTTTCCTATTTTTTTCATTGAAAAAAGTGCAGATTTCAATAGAAATGGACACTTTTATAAATTAACCTGGTTACACCCCCTTGACTTTCAAGCAGACAATAGGTAATGTTACTTCCTGGTTTTGTTAGCTCAATGCAACTGACATCAAGAGGCAGCAATTGCCCAGAGCACCTGACTTACAAAGACTTCTCATTGAGCTGTATTGGAAAGTCTGTGATTAAACAGACACAGAACGTTTGAGCAGGGTTGGAAGGGGAGAGCTTGCAAAGGCAGCAGACAAGAGAACTGCAGATTTTGCAAGCTGATTTTACATATATCCCAATGAAAAAATACATAATTAACTGCATGCAAGTTTTCATTTGGGGTATATCTACTACACAGTGATTTTTTTTAATCTTGTATTTGGGCAATGGAGTGTCCCTTTAAGGCACCACAAGGCAGACAGTATCCTCTACTACGAACGAATCAAATATTGTCCAATTTGCACCATGTCAGCTTCTTAACCGTGGATGAGAGTACTGATCAATGATGCAGGTACTAGCTGCCTTGCAAACCTGATTGGAGGCTGTCTTGCTTAGATATTCTGTGTTATCTCCTGTATATTGCCATTATCACTTTGTTTTATTTTCTCAGTTTTGGGCAATTTAGATTTTTTTTTTCTGAAGTAATTTGCAATCTAAATGTATTCTCACCGCATCTTCCCCCCACCCCTCATCATGCAATGCAATAGTTATAATGCTTGGTGTTTTTTTTTTTTTTTTAATCTGTCATCAAATAGGTCTCCTTTGGGTAATTTATAAAAGTTTTCTATACTTTCAGGGTTATTTACTACAGAGTGAATTGTTGGGAATTTAAGGTGAATTCAAAGAGAATTTCAAATTTTGGGCAAACATTGTCAAACTGAAAACAGAACGAACAATTTTTCCAAAATGACTATTTCCGCCTAGAATGTGAAAATCACTTTGATTTCCGACAATTGACATTTTTCGAACTATTGAAAACAATGGAACATACACAGAATAAAAGTCATTCTTCCTTGATTTGCCATTTCATTTCTGCATCCAACAAGTTGGCGCTGACAAGAGCAGATGCGTTAGCATTTCCTGTGACAGATACATAAGTCACTTTTAATTTCCATGTAGTTTCAGGTCATTGGTATAGATATAATAACAAAAAAGACAGCCATGATATTTTAACCAGTTTATAAAAAAATGACAGCAATTTATTTAAGTATAATGTATAAATCCCATGTAATTGTTTTTCAATGCAGTCATATTTTAATCTGTTGCTGCCTGTTGCAGCAGAGCCGTGGTTACCCTTGAAATGTGATTCACCTTAGTAATATATTTAGAATCCAGGCAGCTGTGTGATTGTATCAGTTTCAATTAAAACAAACGATTGAGGAAGTGAGCATTCATCCAAGTAGTAGGTCATGATTCTATCAACAGACTGGAATGGTCAGTTAACTTAATATATTGCCTTTAGTCAAGTTTCTGGAACAGTTTTCTTTATATATATATATATATTTGTGGTCAGAACTTAAATCGTACATGGAAATAGAGGACAGGGGGAAAGTTGGTAGTGGTATGCCGAAACCAACGTACGGGTAGGCCTGCAATAAAGAGGGCAAAAAGATATAGCAGAAAACACACTTTATTGCAAACTCATAATGCTAAACATTTAAAAGCTTACCTGAGTTCTTTCTCAGATTGCGGGATATATGTATTGTAGACAGAGGATTTCCATCTGCCCATTCTTTTAATGATATGGACTGGTGTATCCGTATTGGAGGCTGCGGAGGCTGCGGAGGCTGCACCAGTTCTGAAGGAGTGACCATAAAATGAGGCAGGGTTATGTCCAAGTCTTAGGAGCAATGTTCTAACGTGAATATGGACTTGGAGGTGGTAAGTGCGTGTCCGTGAAGAAGTGGTAAGGGAGAGTTAGCTGGGAGGCTGTTGTGTGTGGATAGAAATGAATCGAGTATTTTTACGGGACACCAGAGGTTAGCTGTTGGAAAGAGAGGGATTGTAGTAGGAAAGTTTGGGTGGTTAGATTTAGATGTATGTAATGACATAACATAACAGTCGCCGTGTTTGACCATGTCCGATAATTTTAAACTTGTGCTGATATCAGACTGACGAATCACAGTGAACTCTCGGGGTCTAAGGAAGCCGTTGAAGGTGATGTAAATAGCTTCTTTGATGATAGAGTTAGCCTGGGCGTTAGATGGGTTTGTGTCCAGTAGCTCAAAGATATTCCTAAATATGGGTCTATTTATGGGTAGTCTGTAGTTAGTAGGAGGTCGATTTATTTTGTTGATACTTTTAAGAATGTTTTAATGGGGTATGAAGAAAGAAAAGGTGGGTGATTTGGAAAGGTAGTGAGGACGTGGTGTTGTATACCTGTAAGATATAATTTGATAGTGTTATGTGCTAATTTGAGGTGTAAGTGACAAAAAGCCACCATTGTGTCGATAGAGTAATTATCCAAAATAAAAACACCCCACCAAATTTGCGGAAAACAGTCAACGCCCTATCGTATGCTGTCTTAATGTTGGCTGGCAGGGCGTTGCGTGAGAGTAATCGTGCGTGTGTCAATAATCCAGTTAATCCA